GCCAGCTGTGAGTGTACACCCATACACAGCGTGCCTTCCCAGTACTTGTCGATGTTCGCAAATCGAAACTCGACGTCGTATTTTTTGAACTCTCCCCCCTAGAAGATACGCCAGTGTAGAAACACTAGCACGAATTGAAATTTAATAATTTTACAATTTCATCATTTCAATGTTGGTCCTCACATCGAGATGTTTGTAGTTTTCAGCGCATGACCAAATGTTTTGCACAGTCCGTGTATAATCTGATTTCATAGCTGCAGTTTTTACTCAGTTACTCGTATTAAACCGCCACGGTGGTCTAGCGGTTAGAACGCTGGCCTTGTAATCCTGGGGTCTCGGGTTCGATTCCCGGCGGTGCCCGAATTTATAACTTGTGTTGGGCAAGGCCGTGTGGTCTAGGCAACACGGAGTTTTCCTCCGTGGCATCCCAACAATTACTTCATTCACACACAGAAGAAGGCAATGGCAAACCACTTCTGGATCATCTGCCAAGAACGTATATGAACAGGTCCCAGTCCGAGAAAAGGATGGAAGGATCCTGTTCTTATGGACCTGTCGTCAGACAGAACACTAAATAATAAATAACTCGTATTAAACGGGAAGCATTGCCTATGCGTGTAGGATTTGCCTGAAATTTTTACGACAGTGACTCCGATGATGGCTGTCTTCTGGGTTGTTGCGCTGTATGGTCTGGTAGAGGTTTACCGACGTTTCGGAGCTCCTTGCTGCCTCCATCATCATCGCCCTGATGATGGAGGCAGCAAGGCAATTGGTGATCGGAAATATCGAAGTCTACAACAAACAGATCAAAACAGATCAAGCCTACAAAGTGTTTTACGTGAGGAAGGAACCAGTTGACCTGCTAAGTGACTGGAGAAAATGATTTGTCGTCTGTATGCATGAATGAGGACACTGTGATAAAGAATTTTGGTGCCAGGAATTGAGTAAGATTGCAAAAATTCTTGTCACTAAACCTTAGCGTCTACAAATTAGTATTTTCTCTATCTTAAATTGGATGTTACATCAGAGCCCTGATGATGGGGACAGAGACGGTTTCTGAAACGTCGGTTTTTACTGTTTAACCATTTAACGCGAGACGATTTTATTAAGTTACATCGCCGTGAAAGCTTTAAATCATATGTGGATAGTGGAGTAGTATTTAAAAAAATTGTGGGCCCATTTTAATTTTCGTGTCGATGGAACAATTTTAGCGACTTCTTTACGTAAAAACGTTAGATTTTTATTGATGTGATCTTGTCCTTAGGTTTTCGCGGTCATTGAGTGATCTTGGCTTTCTGGAGTCGGCCGCTTCGAATGTTTTAACTCATTATACACGAAAATAAAATTTTCTTCAGATGATCTCGGTTGGAAAAAAGACAAACGAAAGTATTGATTTAAAATACAGTGTTGAAATCAGATGCGTTCTATTCTGTTAATGTGGTAGTCAATTACAACACCACTTTGAAGCATACATTGAACAGGTTTCATAAATTCTAAATTTTTTCTCAGAGGAAAATAAATAAATTCATTCAGTAAACTCTTTAGACTCTTCTAAAATTTTATTAAGTATCATCTAGCAGTGAATCCTCGCGTCTGAATGTGTTGTTTGTTTGTTTGTTTGTTATGAGATAAATATTGTGTCGCAGACGTAATTATTCACTTTACTGAAGGGCGATACTTTCATGAATCATGTTATGTTCATGTTTAATTCCTTCTAAATGCACTCTGTACAATTTTACAATCTTATTTTTAATCCATTCGGCATGTCTTGATATTCTTTATCGCATTGTTCCTGCTTCCATATTCTTCATCTCTTCTTTATATTTATTACACACAGTTCGTTGTTGAGAAAGGCATTTTTTTTTAATTTTGAACACTTTTTCTCTGTCACAATGATAAGGTAGTATATTTGCGTCATATTGTGAATTAGGTTAATATTTTAATATTTTCCGTCAAATCACAATTTTAATAAGATAATAAAATATAAAATATTTAAAATATCATTTCACGTTCCGCATCGAATGATCGATTTACAAATTGCAATATTAACTCTGTCACAATGTTATTTCATTAATTTTTCCTAAGTTGAAGACAGCCGTCTTCGTACTCAACGTCAAATCCTGCTTTCGTAAACTGCTATTATAAATTTTATATTAATTTTCAAACGTATTACAACTAATATTTTCAATGAAAAGAAAAACACATGTATACGACTTTGCAGCCGAACGTAATCTGGTGTGGAGATACGAAGCATATCACCTCTCTTGTATAAATAAAATTGGATGTTGTTGGTTTCGGAGAAAATACGTTGGCAGGCCTGTAACTACTCGGCGTCAGAACCCAGAAAGCGACAGTCCACGTTTTCACCCTCAGATCTCAAACATAATTTATATCAGACATCTTAGCAAGAACAGAACTGGAACGCCTCGTCTTTTGTCCCATAAGTCACTCTTCCGCTCTGATGCTTCGGCTCCATCAGTCATTTTCTAGAAATCCACACGCCTTTGGAATTTCCTCTTTTTAAAAGTTGGCTAGCTCGTTTACAAGGCTCCTGCACACGTTCCATCTTTGTTTGACAGGAAACTCAGCGGAAAATGCTGTTGTCTTCGGTAAACTGTGACTTGTCTGATTTCCTTTGTTCTTGACAAATTGAGTTTTAATGTGTGCAACAATCAACTTGTTTTTGACTAAAACTATTTTAATTATTCCAAAAATTGATCAACTTAGAAATTTTGTCTTATATCCGCCAGTAATTTTAGACTATTATCCGAATAGGCAACTACGCCCGTGCCTTGTTATTTTCTGTTAAATAATTGCATACTGCGAACAACTTTAATAATCGGTCTCCGACGGCCGATAAGGGGTGGTGAATTCCTAAATATCAGTATGAGGGTTCATCTGAGGATAGTTGTCAGTGGCGGATCTGATGAACTATGAGTTGGATATTTCTTGACTAGCTGAGCTTCTGAAGAAGTTTGTAGTTGTTTGCTCAGACATTTAATAAGTTGCCTGATTGACAAACGGCACTGTACTTAACAGACTTATAGCGGAGTAAATTTTGGAAATACTTGTGAAGCTGTCGAGATCTTGCGGTGCTGAATGTTTTCGGAGTAAATTTTGGAAATACTTGTGAAGTTGTCGAGTTATTGCGGTGCTGAAAGTTTTGATTTTGGTCTTCCGGGTTGTAAGCTCGTGTGGATTTGTAGGTAGATAACAAAACTTCGGAAGAACATGCTGCCTCGATCTTTACGGCTACTTTCACAACTATCATGCTGCAGTTTATGAGCCGTTGAAAAGATTTTGTTAAATGACACGAAAATCATTAATCGCGATTTACAAGAAGGGAAAAAAGAACACATTGTCATTGTGAAATTGTCCCCAGACTCTTGATTGAAAGACTGTGAGTGGTTTTACATTGATGTGGTCCAGTCGCGTGGTTGGGGTGCTGAGGTGTTTATACTTCGCACCCTGGAATGCTTTTCTCGACACGAGAGTTTGCAATTACGTGGAGCGATAGCGTTTTGGCTTTCTGGTCCCATTATAGTCAGACGCCCCTCACAGAAGGGTCAATGACTGAATAGTTTGTGGGAATCAGGGGAGCACACCTCGTGGTTCATTGTCCCCAGTGCGCATTTCGCAGCCAGGGGGCGGTGGTTGAGGTGTGGCTGAATTGAACAGCGTCATCGAGGGGCGCACTTCATATGTTGGATGCATGTAAGAGCATTGGAAACAGTTTGGGGAAGGGTTTCAAGGTTTGCAGAAATGTGCTTATTTTTAGCTGTGATTGCCATGAAATGCGATTTGAAGGACAATAATTACGGACAATTCTATGATACGAAGTGATTTTAGAGGATTTCCTGAGTTAACTTCGGTTTCCGTAATTACGTATGACCGCTTGACCCCGTGGGGCATCTGACCTCTGTGA